TTGTGAGACACACTAACACTTGAAAGTCTTATTCAAGAAACATTCACAATATAACCTCATGTTTTAATAAACATATACAGTTTAACATCTTTTAAGTTAAAAAAAAAAAAATCACAACTAACGATCACTGGAATGAATATTCACAAAATAAACCCAACCCTGTATCTTCAAGAATTACCAAAGCTGATTTAAGTAAAGGTTAAATTCAAGAATCACCAATGCTGATTTAAGTAAAGGTTAAATTCAAGAATCACCAATGCTGATTTAAGTAAAGGTTAAATTCAAGAATCACCAATGCTGATTTAAGTAAAGGTTAAATTCAAGAATCACCAATGCTGATTTAAGTAAAGGTTAAATTCAAGAATCACCAATGCTGATTTAAGTAAAGGTTAAATTCTAGAATATCGACTTCAGCGCACCGCGTTTTATCCCACATGGCTCGGTCTCTCATCACAGAAGGGCTATCGCCTGGAAAGGATGGCTGACTGGTCAGGCCGTGTGACTCTTCTCTGAAGATCGTGGGCTCATTCGGTTCATGCGGGCAGTTTTTACATAGACCCATGTGGTCATTGCCGGAGCATTGCTCAAAGCACGCTCAATATAGCTCTGGTGACGACCCCATGGGTCTATGTAAAAATTGAACGCATAAACCAAATGATCCCACGACCTTCAGGGAAGAGGCACACTGCCTGACCAGTCAGCCATCCTTTCCAATTTTTTAAGAGGGCGCTACCTGAAATGTTTGAGAACAACTGCTTTATACTAAATCAGTCAAAGTCATAATGAGGTTAGTTGCGTATCCCTTACAGGACGTTGCAGAACCAACCCCAACAGCCCCTGGCTGTTGTGTGGTTTTTCTAGGCAAACTTGCGTCAAGTCGTTTGCCATTGCTTTCTGTACGGTCGGCTTTCTTAATACCACTGTCGAAACCAACGCAAGGCGCATGGCCCGCAGCTGGGATCGAACCCGGCATCCCGGCATTACGAAGCGTTCGCATCGATTTAACCACAGAGCCGAAGATGAAAGTAAAAAAAAAAAAAATACTGCATTGATGAGGATTCGAATTAAGTTCTTCTGATGCGCAAGCTTTAAAAAGGCCGTTTTACATCTAAGGAAGAGGGTGCGGGCCGCACCAGGGCCATTAAGGGGGTTATGTGTCATCACTGAGGGGGGAGGGGGGAGCTGTGAGGGGGAGCTGACAAAATAGCAGATAAATGTGTATTTATGGAAACAACTATGTGTGGTGGGGGAAGGGCGGGGATTTGAAAATGAAATTTCAGTCCAGTTTACGTTTCCCTGTCCATCTACACACTGCCTAACATTTAATTCATACTTTCTCAGCTGTTCTACTTTAGAGGGGTGTCACGTTGTCTGGCCTCCAATTACATAAGCGCAGATGTCGCGTGTTATATACTACACGACGAAACAGCTTTCAAAGACCCCAGAACATCTAGAAGTGGCCCTAACCTAAACCCTCTACCCACAGCACGATCCTAGGTCTCACAAGAGACTCTTTTTCAAGAAAGCAGTACAACGTGACAGCCCTCTGACCAAGGTCAGACTGAGAAAGTATGCAGATGGGCCGGGAAACGTGAATAGGTCCGAAATTTCCTCCACTGCGTGTTGTGTATTGGTTGTTGCGTATCCTTTACAGGACGTCGCAGAACCAACCTCTACAGGTTTGGCTGTTGTGTGGTTTTTCTAGGCAAATTTATGTCTAGTAGTTTGCCATTGCCTCTGGACGGTCGGCTTTCTTGATACCACTGCCGAAACCAACACAAGGTGCGTGGCCCGCAGCTGAAATCGAACCCGGCATCCCGGCATTACGAAGCGTTCGCATAAAGACTCTTAGCCACAGAGTTTACGTGTTGTTACTAAAGGTTTGAAAAGTTGACATAGCATTTTTGTGCAACAGGCTTCATTCAGTTGAAATAATCAACAAGGCTTCCTCTGTTGTACGATATTTATCTTATTTTTGTTTTGTTATTGGATAAAATATTTGTGACTTTTCGTTGACCAAGTAAGTAGCGTATCCTATACAGGATGTTTCAGAACCAACCCCAGCATTTTCTGGCTGTTGTGGTTTTCCTAGGAAAGTTTACGTCCAGTAGTTTGCCACTGCTTTCCGGAATGTCGGCTTCTCGATACCACTGTCGAAACCGGCGCAAGGCCCGCAACTGGGATCGAACCCGCCACCCTAGCACTACAAAGCGCGTTCGTAACCCCTAAGTCACAGACGCCGACTCATTGACCAAGACTTTACAGAAAAATGCATTTGAACACAAAGCTTAAAAAGGAAAGGGGGGGGGGTGGGGATGGGGGGTGTTAGCCGGTATTTTGCTCCAGGGCCCATAAAACTCAAAGAGGGCACATGAACGGTACAGCTTTTATAATACACCCAAATAAAAAAAAAAAAGTTTACCAAGAAAGGCAGTATCCGATATATACTCGATATGCCACACTTTGTGAGTATAATTTTTTTTTAGTATCCAGAAGCCATGAATTGTTAACCCTTAGGCTCGGTATTATGGATATCGCAACCTTTCGGCCTCGATTCCATGATTAATACCGTAAATCTGGGAGAAAATATGGCTTTTCTGCCTACCCCCGGGCATGAACCCTGACCACAAGGAGTTCGTCACCTGGTCACCGCGCAGTCCGGTTTAGCCAACTTTAGAGAGCCGGACAAAACGTAAATGATAAATGTACAATTATGACGGCACAGCCGTGTTGTAGCTATTAGATGCTCGCCTGCTATAAGAAGGTAGTGGGTTCGGGTCTTGACACAGCCGGGCTGTTTCAAAAATGACTTTGGCTCCAAGATCGATCCAGCATTGAGTGGGTACCAAGTGAGAGTCCTGGAAGTAAAGGTAGCAAGTGTAATGCTGACCACGTCACATACCTGACTGTTCTATAAAATATAAGTCTAGCCCAATATGCCCAATGCGCCTGAAGGCGTGGGAACAGGGTCCTTTACTTTAACAAATTATGACATCATTGATTTATGTGTCCATGTGTAATGTGAGGGGGCCCATATTAGACTTCGTTGAGCACCTAATCATTTTCTTAACGGCCCTGAACACAGACCAAGAGGGTAGTAGAAGTAATACATTTTACCCCACCAGGACATCACACAAGCGATAAACACCCGAGGACACAATGTGCCAGCATGTGGATGAGGATCACCCGTGGAGAGGTCCCAGAAACCGCGTTCAGCCATTAGACCATATTCATGGCCAGGCTATATTGCGGCCCCTGGCAAAAGCCAGGGTGGGGCTTCAAAATAATTATTGCATCCAACAGGGGGATGACTAGAATTAATCAAGAGGGGAAACCATTTAAACGATGGAATGACAGTATCAGGAACAGCCTTAAAATGAAAAAAAAAAAATACATTAGTAACGACGCTTTAGGAAAAGCATCCAAAAGATCTTTACAGCCTACGCCTCAGCACTTGGACAAGGCAATTAGGAACAAGAAGATGAAGATGAAGACTTTTGTCTGAATGGTGTTAACGTATGTGGCTTTCCTATTAACATGCTACGGGAAATTACCATGTGTATTATGTCCTTTCCCTCAGTAGCAAACAAAAAAAGTCCCCCTGTCTTCTTCACTATATTTTGGCAATCCATTGACTGACTTTCATCCTGCGATTCTAGTGACTGTTGAGACAGCGAAACATGACAGCCTAAGTTTTCCGACAGGTCTCATGATAATGATGAACAACCTTTCAGGCCTCCCTTCACTTACCATTGAATCAGTTTCTAAGTAAGAAGAAACTCTACAGGGAAGCATGTACAGCAGGAGTCTACCAATCATCAGTAGAAGTAATGTCTCGTCGACACATGTTTCGGCCCACGAGCTCCTAGATATTTTCAGAGAGTGGGCCCACCTGAGTTCATGAAGCTCAGAGTTGATTTTTTCATGCTGCACGTATTACCGGATGTTTCTACATTTAAGCAAAGTACTGTAACGCACCATTTCCTACGTCATTAGGCATATTGGGTATATAAGGCTTGACCTATATTTTATAGACCAATCGGTACTTCGTGGGTGATGTGGTCAGCATCACGCCGGCGGGGCTCAGTCTCCGGGATTTTATCTGGTACCCCTCAAGGCTGGGTAGACCTGGGACCCAAGATCAGTTTTGACAAAAGTCCAGCTCCGCCAGGACCAGAACCTGCGACTTTCCAATCCGCAGGCAAGCGTTTAGCCTCTACACCATGGCGGTCCTGTTCTACATATGGGCTGTATGTTTAATGACTGTAGACTTTTTAAAATCACTTATTTGCACCGCAATTAAATTTGTGTATTAAGTCATAATTCAAGCGCCTTGTAACCGTTTGTTTAGAAAATCACTGCTACATATCGGTGTTTTAGTAGCTAATCTGAGCTATAATTGTGTTAACGTTTGACGAAACAGTATTGTTATTTCAAAGTGTTTTCCTTAACGGTGGCTGGTATTCAAATCTGGTTGTTCAACACTTTATGATGTCACTGCCTTATACTCTAGTGCCTTATCCTCATACTAGTAACAATCTAACCAGCCGAATCGACTGCGAATGGTGTTGTAATGTGAAAACAGTAGCCCCCCAAAAAAGACACACTTTACTAGTATAGGTTGCATTTACTCCACAGACGGTAATTACAAAAAAAAAAAAAAAAAAAATAAGAAAGCAATATTTTCAACAATTAAATATTTACAAAATAGAGTCATTCAAAATACACCCTCTATATCAGTGGTTCTCAACCTTCCTAATTGCGCGACCCTTTAATGCAGTTCCTCTGTTGTGGTGATCCCAAACCATACAATTATTTAAGTTGCTACTTCATAACCAGTGAATATGTATTTTCCGATGGTCTCAAGCGACCCCTGTGAAAGGGTTGTTCGACCCACAAAAGGACACGACCCACAGGCTAAGAACCGCTGCTCTATATGATACTTTTTTACACTGATCCCAGAAATCCTTCACCGCGTCCTCGTTGTGTTCAGTCATTCCTCAATAAACAATTTTCGCGCAAGTGTCTGTGCCTATTCGTAGCTGGTGTTCTTTAGCTTTAAGTCTGAGGGAAGCAATGCTAGTGCTCCTGATATCCCCAGTGCTCGGGGATGTGCGCGGGTCACCGTGCTCTTGACTTGAATCCGGAGACACTGACCGCGCCGTTAGTTTGCGCATGAATTCCGCTTCGTTGCTAGGCGACGGCGTTTTACCTGGCAGGCCTGGTTTTGATGGCGGCGAGGAAGACGTCACTTCCGATTCCCGCGCTTTCAGGGCGGACGAGGTCATGCTGGCTAGGAGATGTTGGAATGATCCAGGTGGAGGGAGTGGAAGTGAGAGCGGCATTAGTGTCCGTTTAGCGTGTATGCTGCCGGGAGCCGACAGTCCAATGGAAGGGAAAGTTGTCGGCGAGTACAAGGTTGCTGGTCCAAACTGTGTCATCTGCGCTGCCATCCCGTATCGAGACATCATGGCGCTCTCGTAGGTCTTCAAGAGAAGGTCTGAGTAGGTCATTGAATGCGGGTGATGATGTAGCTGAGTCGCTGGCGGTGCTAATATGTTGCGGGTCATCATTTGCAGACCTGGCGGGTAAGAACTGTAGGGATGTGACTGACCTCCGACCTTTTCTTTTTTCCGCCATTTCGCTCTTCTGTTCTGAAACCAAACCTGCGGATTTACAACAATAAAACAAATTATTATTTCAATAAGGTCAATGAGGATGATGGTGGGGGTGGTGATGATGATGATGATGAGGGTGGTGGTGATGATGATGACAATGAGAATGATAACAGTCATGATTATAACAGATCTGATATTTATACTTCAACACTCCCCGTGTGAGTTCAAGTGTCCATTTTGGTGGAGAGAGATTAGACACAATGTCCGCTTGAGAAGCATGTCGTAACAGCAACTATGCTGAGGGTTTGTGAAATCGGATGTGTTGTGTTGAAGAGCGCATATCGCATCCCGGTTGTAAACCACAACAAAATGTGTCAGACGCCCTTTTATAACCGAATGCAGAAGGAGGAGAAGAAGAGAAAGATATTTTTAGTCTACAGTTGTTTGATTCGTCATTTTAAGCTTTGAATATCGTCGGTTTTGTTTCTGACTCCGCCGCTGGGCGCGTGAGTGCAGGTATCATGGGAGATCCATGGGGATCGTCGCTGGAACTATGGAGTTTCCTACACTGTGGGATGCCCCCGGCGGGTGATCATCCACTTTGCAGGGGAGAATCGAGCCAGTTGTGATACAAGTCGAAGCTATAACGATAAAATCGCCAGTTAACACATTATTTCTAACATATTTTAGAGAATGTAATTGCTCGCCTGTCCGTTTGCATGAATAACCCTGTGTGTTTAGAAGGATGAAGTACCAGTCACCATTGGTTAGTTGCGTATCCTTTATAGGACGATGCAGAACCAACCCCAGCAACCCCTGGCTGTTGTGTGGTTTTTCTAGGCAAATTTACGTCCAGTAGTTTGCCATTGCTTCCTGGACGCTGGCCTTTCTTGATACCACTGTCGAAACCAAAGCAAGGCACATGGCCCGCAGCTGGGATCGAACCCGGCATCCCGGCATTACGAAGCGTTCGCATCGACTTAGCCACAGATCCGACCCTGTTACCATTACAGACGTTAAATTCAAGAACAACTTAAATGAAGGCAAAAGGGGACCAAGGAAAAAAATAGGTTGAAAAGACTCCACATTCACACAAAGTGATAGGCTCAGGGTGCACACACACACACACACACACACACACACACACACACACACACACACACACACACACACATATATATATATATATATATATATATATATATATATATATATATTGGTTTATTTGTCTGTCTATGTAATTTTAGTATTATCTCGTAGACATAAGAAACTATGAACTGTTGAGCTAAGTTGCAATACAAAGATTCCCAGAATACCATTAACAAAAAAAAAAAACAAAAAAAACAAAAAAAAAAAAAAAATTGATATCCTGAAAGATATAATCATCAAGGTTAGAAAACAGCATCTCGTCTCGGAAACTGAAATATTATGGCCATGTCGAGCGTCGTGGCAGATTAATAAAATAAAAAAAGCCAGAGGTAGGGTTCTAGGAAACAAAGAGGCAGGAGCTGACCAGAACGAAGAAGGGAACAGAAAAAAAAAAGTGTCACCCTGGGTAGGAAAGTGCATGAGGCAGGAGATCAGACGAGACGCCGAGTTTTTCCCCAGCTGGGATGTGATAAGAGAGAGGTTCTAGAAAGGACCTGCTACTTAACAATCATGATTGTCTCAATACATAACGCGTGCCCTCTTAAGAGATAATATTATTTAAAGAAACGTTATAAATATCCTTGACTATAAGGACTATCATTAATTATTTAGAAATCTGTGGATAATTCGAGCGCATCCAGTGTTCGTAAGTGTTTGTAATTATTATTTGTATGTCGATTATGTTTATCACTTAAACGTTAATAAACCGTAGATGTTTGAATGAGATCAAATATGAAAGGAGTGGGGTCTGAAGGGCACAATTTCAGACTAGCCCATGTGTCCAGGTCTTAACAGTTTAAAAAATAAAGCAGGTGTGCTGATTTGTTCGTTCTGCTCGTTCATCTGTGAGCAATAGACACATAAAATAAAAAAAGAAAATAATTTATTAAACAACTAACACCAGTTGTACAGGGTCTGCATAACTGGAAAAATCCCCCCCCCTTCCCCCCCCCCCCCCCCCCCCCATTTTCATCCTAAGGCGAAACAGTGCACAGAACACTCATAGGACTATAAATTAAACTTTAATTCGATATCGTTAAAATTCCCCAAGAAACTTGACTTAAATTTATGCCAGAATCGTTAAAACGCTCCACTTCAAAATATTGAAAATTCGCACAGGAAACACCAGCGAATACCAAGGGAGATAATAACTACGCTCAAACAGAGAGTAACTTCCGGTAAATATGGCGGGGATCTGTTTACTTTTTCCTTGTGTCAGGAGAAAGGTTATATTCACACTTTTAAAGGTATCGTTGTCAAAGTGTACCTTGAACAACATGTCATCGCGGCTTTCATTGAAATAATGTGATCTTGCCCGCGCTAGCCTATTAAACATAAGTGCTTCTTTCAAGCAAATTATTCGCAGACGTTCGCCCGTTTACACAAAATATTATTTAACTAGGAAATATGAAATATGTCTTCCTCACAGTTAATTAAAGTTTTACTGACAGATCATATTTCGTTTCGCGACAGATTACTTCGTCTTGTGTTTTTTACATGGTCACGTTTTGTCAACACTCGGGTTAATAAAAATGTCTACTGTGAAAGGAACATTAAACGGCTTGGGGGAAATTAAGTGAGTAAATATGAGTGAATGTTGGGTCTAGTAGGTGGGAGGTAAGAGACGCAGAAAATACTGTGAGAAATGCTAATTGGAAAGTGGGGGGGGGGGGGGGGTTTGTAAAAAATAGTCGGAGGTACAAAGTGTAGATGCAAAGGCTAGTATCGGTTCTAAGTTTGCTAATTCTTCTTCTTCTGCTTCTTCTTCTGCTTCTTCTTCTTCTTCTTCTTCTTCTTCTTCTTCTTCTTCTTCTTCTTCTTCTTCTTCTTCTTCTTCTTCTTCTTCTTCTTCTTCTTCTTCTTCTTCTTCTTCTTCTTCTTCTTCTTCTTCTTCTTCTTCTTCTTCTTCTTCTTCTTCTTCTTCTTCTTCTTCTTCTTCTTCTTCTTCTTCTTCTTCTTCTTCTTCTTCTTCTTCTTCTTCTTCTTCTTCTTCTTCTTCTACTTCTACTTCTTCTTCTTCTTCTTCTTCTTCTTCTTCTTCTTCTTCTTCTTCTTCTTCTTCTTCTTCTTCTTCTTCTTCTTCTTCTTCTTCTTCTTCTTCCTCTTCTTCTTCTTCGTCTTCTTCTTCTTCTTTACCATCATCTTCTTCATCATCGTCTTCATCTCTTCTTCCTCCTCCTCCTCCAGATACTTTAGTGAAGTGCTGGGTAAAGAAGGAGAAGAGATATAACGATCTTCGGTGTGCTTTTCTATCGCGCTGTGATAGTCAATATAAATCTAGCTGAGCAATTACAGAAAGTGTTTCGCGTGGTTAAGTGAGCCCAAAAAGTAGCTGGAAGCATTATCTTCTCACTCTGGATCAGTGGTTCTCAATCTGGGGCACGCCACCCTAGGGGGCCGAATGTAGTTTCACGTGGAGCGTCAAGCAACATAGAAATTAAATTGTACTTGTAATAATCTATTTTACTTTTTAAAAAGTGCATTTTAATCATTATTTGAAAAAAAAATTATACATAAAAGAAAAAGCCAAGAACGCTATATAGATGTTTCTCTCCGAGTTTTTGTTAATAGTGCTTTTGACTGTTCTGTTTGTTTCTTCATTTTTGTAATCACATTTTTTTTTATAAACATATACAAGAGAAATGTAACACACTACACAGCACTGCAGAAATGGTGGGATTGAGAATAAATACAGAGAAAACTAAGATCATGACAAACAGTACAAACCAACAACCAGTGACCATAAGTAACCAATCACTTGAAAATGTAGAACATTTCACATACTGGTAGTGTGGTGTCCCTACTGGGAGGGACAGGGGAAGACATACCGTCATGACTGGATAAAGCTAGGGCTGCTTTGGGAAGGATAAGGCAAATCTGGAAATCCAACAGTTACTGCAGAGGAACAAAACTCCGACTCTACAAGAGCATCATTTTGCTTGTTCTTCTCTATGGAGCAGAATGCTGGAAAATGACCAAAAAGGATTACACAAGCTGTCCACCATCCACCACACATGTCTACGTAGAATTATGAAAATCTTCTGGCCAGATACAATCTCAAACACTAAACTACTTCAAGTCACAAACCAAGAAACACTAGACAGTATGATTACCAAGAGAAGATGGAAATGGCTTGGCCACGTTATGAGAATGAATCCTGATATACCTGCCAAAACAGCTCTCACATGGATACCAGAGGGAAAGAGAAAAAAAGGGGCGCCCAAAAACAACATGGAGAAGAACAATGGAAAGTGACCTGAGTGTGGCATCTTTGGCATAGAAAACTGCATTGAAGACTGCACAGGACAGGAAAGCATGGAAATCCTCTCTGAAGCCTCATGTGCCACTAGGCATAACGAGAACTGATGATGGTGATTTATTTTTAGGGTTGGGGGAAAAAGGGGGGGGGGGAGGAAAAAGGTGATTTTACCATACATTTAAGGGGACACCACTTAAACAGAGTTGAAGGCTATTGCTCTAGACGCACACACACACACATACTCGTATATATATACCATGCTTTCTTTATCATGGTATTGGGCGTCGCAGTATGACCCAGCCTGAACTTATGTCCTGGGGAAGTAAAGACGGCTGGCGTAATGCTGACCAAATTATTCATGTGGTTTGTGTGTGTATCACGTGATATTCGCACATTTTGTGTGGTTGTTTTTTTTTTTTCTGTCTGTCTTGTATTTACTGGTCCCTTATGAGTACGTCGGCTCTGTGGCTAAGTCGATGCGAACGCTTCGTAATGCCGGGATGCCGGGTTCGATCCCAGCTGCGGGCCAGGTGCCTTGCGTTGGTTTCGACAGTGTATCAAGAAAGCCGACCGTCCAGGAAGCAATGGCAAACTACTGGACGTAAATTTGCCTAGAAAAACCACACAACAGCCAGGGGCT